TGTGTACCCAGTTGTGTCGCTTTTCGACCAGGGTATACCCTGTTGTGTCGTTTTCCCATTTTTCTTTGCATTCGTTTCGTCGGGAGGAGCGATTTCATGGGCATTAGCAGAGGATTCTCTCTCATCCATCATGCTGAAAGCGTACTGGAAAAACCCGAAGACAGCATGGCGATACATGCGGTTGATGGGGGTCGTGGCGCCAGATTCAGGGGGCGAGGGCATGGTTCAAGGGGTAACTTCGTTTCAGTAAAGAGAGCTCAACGAGTTCTCCTTGAGTGACCAAAGCCGACATTTGGCAGCTTTTGGTCGGTCACCGATGCTTTGATTTATGGGAAGTGCACGGAAAAACGAGCGAGAAATGCTTCTACCCGAGATAGTGTGGGAGATAATAGTTTTGGGAGGATGGCACATACCTTCCCTTGAAGGTGATGCCACTGGTAAACCCCAAACTACAAGGAAAGAAGACCTAGCTCGTAAATACTGGAGTATCCGCGTTTGCTGCTAGTCTATGCATACCTCTTTGCGGAAGACATTGAACGTGACGCCAACACCACGCCTCTCCGCAGTAGCGGCCACATCCGCGTAGCTGACGCCAGCAATCGCCGCCGCATGGTAGACTCCGCAGAGTCCGGGGTGCTACTTGGCGGCTTGGGCGCGCTGATCGCGCGTCAATCCTGTTGCAAAGGCTCCTGGCGGCTCGTCGCGACTACATACATGATGCGGTTCCGACCGCAACGGCAGCATCGAAGACAAATTCTCGGACGCGTGCTCGTACGCCTCCTTGACCTGGACAAGGATGGCATGGCTGTCTCCACCCTTGAACTCCTCGACGAGGGGAGTGCCGGGGTATGCGTTGGCTGCTATGGGCTATCGTAGTGTGGCGTTGGACGGGAGGGGTGGAAGCGGAAGAGAATATCGGCGCGATGTGACGATGTGCGGCAGGTGCTCGCTGCAGCCCAGCAGGCTCAACAGCGAAGTTTCGCCGCGTCGATCGGCGCTCGGTCAGAAAGCGCTACCAGGGCCCAACTCGAAGAAGCACCTTGCCCACCGATGAAAGGAGGCTCTGTGCAACGTAGGGCTTTGGTTTGAAGCTGTCGCGTTCCCTCTTGAGGAATATCTTGAAAGCCTCCTTTTCGTGCTCAGTTTACCACGCTTGCGCCAGTTGTTCTCTAAAAGCCCTATCAAAAGTCCCTCGCTTATTCGGTGTCGCATCAAATGTCCCCTCAAAAGGGGACGTTTGATAGGGCTTTTNTATGGGCTATCGTAGTGTGGCGTTGGACGGGAGGGGTGGAAGCGGAAGAGAATATCGGCGCGATGTGACGATGTGCGGCAGGTGCTCGCTGCAGCCCAGCAGGCTCAACAGCGAAGTTTCGCCGCGTCGATCGGCGCTCGGTCAGAAAGCGCTACCAGGGCCCAACTCGAAGAAGCACCTTGCCCACCGATGAAAGGAGGCTCTGTGCAACGTAGGGCTTTGGTTTGAAGCTGTCGCGTTCCCTCTTGAGGAATATCTTGAAAGCCTCCTTTTCGTGCTCAGTTTACCACGCTTGCGCCAGTTGTTCTCTAAAAGCCCTATCAAAAGTCCCTCGCTTATTCGGTGTCGCATCAAATGTCCCCTCAAAAGGGGACGTTTGATAGGGCTTTTAGACTTGAGACGGCCCCGGGGGGAGGTGTTTCCTCCTTTGTTACAGGCCACGGACTGTCCATCATCGCCCAATGAGCGCGAATATTTTCTTTTTTTAGTTGCGTTCCAAACGCCACAGTAAGAATTTGAGGCAGGACCGGAAATTGGTGTTTCTTCAACGCGGGCGCTAACAGAATGTGTGATGAAATATCTGGACTTACGCAGACTACAGTTTTTTTTTGTTTGTTTTTTCTCCCATCATTGGACTCTGTCGTCTGCCCCTCTGGCCCCTATCCTCCACTTCTACTAGCTAGACGACCCAACCGGGGTCACATAGGAGGGGGGGGTTGGACCCCCTCCTGCGGTACATGCCTGAGGTATTTTTATCGCGAGAAGGGTACAGCAATCCCTTCCCTCGCGACTTACGAAGTCGATTATGGTTTACTGACAAACGAGCTTTGCAGCGCGTCGCTTTCATCCTAGACCAGGATTTATATAGTGAGAAAAAAACTCTCTCTGCCGGGACTCGAACCCATGACCTGGCCCTTAGCAGGCTGCGAGGCTACCCACTAGACCACCGGGGCGACCGGTGCAGTAAATGCGGCGGGCGATGTTCAGGCCGCAGCTGGGATTTCCCACGAAGTCCCACCCGGCCATGGATGGATCTATCTGTAGATGGAGGAAGGTGCGGTGCCTCTACCGTTCCCACCAGCGGGGCCCTGCCTCCCTCGTAATCATGTCTTCAATTGAGCCTGAGTCCTTCACCCTGCGCCATTGCTATTGCTGAGCTGATCTCGCACCGTGAGCTTGGAATACATGCAGCCATTGCCAGGAAGCCTAACGAGGAGGCATCTCAGATCGCAAGAGTTCTACCGCAGCCAGAAGGCAGAAAAGGGAACAGCAGGGACGATGTAGGTATATTTAGCCCGTCACCAACACTGCACTTTTTCCCACCCTTGTCTTTACCTACAACGACGACGACAACGACAACAAGCAAGCCCTCCCCCGCAGGATCGGGGAGGGCAGGGGAGCCACACGACACATACAATGCCAACACGAACACATCAGCTCCTCATTTACTTGAACAACATTCCATCCTGTAGAAAACATTTTCCCGCACGAACGCACGCACGCAACAAAAAACGTTGTTCACGTTTACACCCCACCTTACACCCTCCAGTGCACGGCTACAAGCAGTAGTCACGTGCTGACAACACACAGCTACCTCGCCACATATGTGCATAAAGCTGAATATTTCCACAAAAACAGCTACAGCGATGGTCGTACGGCTTCATCGGACACAAACACGGTGTGTCCGCGGCACCCATAAGGACACACACGCAAAACAAGACACAAGAGTGACACGGCACAACCACATCTCCTACAACAGGGCGTCTAAAAAACTAGCGTCAAAGGCATACACAATTATCGACGTGTTCAGTTTCGTCGGCCTGCAAAGGTTGAAGGTTGCAGTTTTTCAGTATCCGCTGATACTCGGGGCCACGACGTGCCCGATGGCGTCCTGCCACGGGGTGTGTTCGTAGTGCCCTCTGGCCATGAGGATCGTCGCCCGGAAAATCTTGAGCCCATTCTGTGCCAAGGCCCACGACAAGAGGCCCGTGAACTCTACGGGACAGTGGAACCTGAAAACACACACACGCGTTTAGATACATGCAATGTATCAATAACCAAGTTCCATCGCATGATGCGCACATCCATCAACGCAAGAAAGATGCCACGTCATGGACGATTCATGCCTTTGCGCTGGGGTGTGTAGGGTGGTGGGCGGGGGGGTCATAGCCAAGTATGGAAGAGTGTGACCGCTCCAGCACTGACAGTCGGGGGTCCTGGGATTGTTTATATCGTCCCTATACGTCGTTGAAACGCTCTTGAAGGTGGAGCCCTTCTACCAAGAGTCTGTGCAGAGGTTTTCGCCGCCTGGTTTGCGTACACACCGGAAGCTACAATCATCGCACTCAACACCCGGCACACGGAAAAGTCAAAACATACATGTCGTCGCCCCACGGCAGGTGCAAACAGGGGTTCCGTGAGCGGAATCTGTCCGTAACCCCGAGCTCAAGCCACGGTACAACATTGAAGTGGCGAGGTAAATGGAAGCATTTTGCGCTGATAGTGGAGCGTACCGAAAAACCAAAACATCTGCTTAAGTGGCGGGAAACATGACTTCGGGCAACGTGATCTCTGAAGGCTGCTACAGAGTGTTTCACGGAGCCAAAGTTGACCAGAAATGGGGAAGGCGGGAGATATTACCTTGGGCAAGGCAGCCCCGCCTGTTGGTGCAGCTTCGAGCTCTGTCGGAACATGTCGCAGAAGATGTCCTGAGACTTCGCCACGGTATGTCCCATTATGTAGAAACCTTGCGGATTCCACGGACCCCAAACAGATATCGACCCCCCGAAGCACGGCCGAACCCCAACACCGCCCCCCCCACCACGGAAGCGCACACGACACAGGACAGGCGCAACGAACAACGACAAACTCAACGTCAAACAGCGACCGGGCTTATCATGATGGGCACACACATCACGGTACAACAACCGCGCAGAGAGATGGTGGGAGACTATTACAAAACGAGCTTATGGGAAACAATGGTCCTGGTATGGTCATGTTAGGTCTGTCTACGTCTGCTCCAGGCAGGGCGCGTATCGTTGCGCTGTAGCCCCTGGCCCTGTACTACTTGTGTGAAGCATGTGGTCTTCCGAGTTGGCTCCTGCCATCCCGGCCCCGATTCTATCGTCGTTCCTTGCCGATCTGATGGTTACCTGCGATCAACTCTTCTTTTCGTTGTCCTGCTTGCTGATGGATTGGTAGCGTTGTTGCTCCTTTTCCGTGGTGGTTATTTTGCGCGAATCAGCACGCATCCTTGTCAATTTGCGTCAAGGTCCCTCACTGTTCGCCTTGCAGTCACAGCCTTCCTTAAATTAAGGCCACACGACCGCGTATCAAGAGTCAATCTTTGATGATACGTCGTGCCGACGGAGCATATATACATGTAGCCTACCTGTGGTGTAGCCAACCACTTTGCCATCTGCATCTCGGGCCACCAGCCTGTTATTTCCGTCGATCCCCCAACCGTTCCCCGGTGTAGACGGGATAGCAGTGATGGATGATGCCATGCACGAAGAGCAAACGGAGAGAGCCTGGGCAAAGTCATGGCCACGGAATTCTATTTCCAGTTCATGTTGCGGGAGCCATTTACGAGCGAACTTCTTGCTCACACACACCTTGGTCCACTACGCAATCCCGGAACAAAAAGCAGTCTCGTAATGACAAAAATGCCCACTCCATTCGGTACTCACGCCCCCTTGCTCGGCTGACCCAACTCACATCGGGAACGGGGCACCGGACCCCAAGCAACCGGTGATATCCGCCCGGCGGTCCCAGCCGCAGCTCTTCCCGTGTGCCTCGAGAAACAGCTCCGCGCAGTCCTCGACATCTCCCGCGACCATGGCCTTCAGGGTTACCCCGCTAGGCGCGGGGGGGGGCGACAGGCTCCCCTCAGACGGCAGCTCCAAGAATCCTCCGATGTATTGGCACGTGTGTTTTGTCTTGCGAGGTAGAAAAGGGAGTGGTTTGTTATTGTTGCGGCGATTATTGTTCGTCTACTAAGGCGAACCCAGCGGGTGGTGTGGAGGAAGGTCGATGAAAGGGCACGCTGGGGTGAGTGTACACT